CTTCCTCCCTCTTTGCATGTCTAATACTTTTTTATTGCATGCCAGACATAGTATATAAATGAAACAGAAATGCTCCACATAATGTCTTCTACCAGTGAGAGTTCCCCCTTTCCTCTTTTAGGCAGATAGAGTAAGGGATTTATCAAACTTAATTAGGGATTTTGTTTAGCCAGAGCCTAGCAGTAGCTGTGACTAGGATCCAGCACGAGCTTGGATTATTTATACTCCTGTGGATGGAGTAAGGTTAGGGAAGGTGAGAGGATAAGAAGCTGGTTATGTCAGGATGATGGCGATCTCAGCTCTTAAAAGGTAAAGAAAGCTGCAAATGAGCACTGGGTATTTAGATAGAAGACCATAAAAGGCTGGAAGAGGAACACTTCAGCATCAGTATCCTCAGTCTTAGGAGCAGTACACGTGGTTTTGGGCATGTCTGTGTGGGCTTATGTCTGAAGGAAATAGTTGCCAAGGTAACTGGACTTTTATCTTGCACTATTATAGCCTAAGGCAAAGATTAAATTGTGAGGCCTTATGAAGTACTTTTAAAGGTTTCTTAAAATTGCTTCATTGAAAAACTTCCACTTATTGCCCTAAATAATATTATAACATAAAATCAAAAATTTAAATACAAATTACTCAGAATCCTACTGCCATAATAATTCAACTGCTTTGATTTTCCTTGTTGCTTTCCATTCTTTTGTTTATAAACACTCATATGTACACACTCATACACACACACACATACACACACACACACACATACTTTTTACATAATTGTATCCATGGTGTGTATGTGATTTTCCTTCTATTGCTTTGAAGGTTAAGTTCAGTTTTTGACTCACGTTCATCAGCAAATCAGCAAAGAGATTGAATTCCTCACTTCATTCCTGAATTTTAATGCTTGTTCCATTTTGCTGTTTTTAATTAACTGAGTTAAGCTATATTTAGAGTGTGGTCGAGAAAGTGCAGCACTATTCAACAGACACATATTATTTTTAAGAGAATACATTAGATCTTGCATCGCTAGAGAAAACATTACAATTTTAAGTTCTTCCACCAGTTATGAAGATTTAATTATAGTAGTTTGCCTGTTTTCTTTATTTAGACAGATTTATTGAAAGCTGGTATGTGCTAAGTTATTTGTGGCCTTGTTTACAAAACTTGCACCATTCTTTCCAAAGCCCTTCCCATTGCTGCCTGCTCATTCTTAGGGCTTGGCCTGAGTCACCTCCTCATTCCTGCCTTCTCTGGTATTATCACCGGATATTCCCATCTACTGGGCCTTGATTATTTTCGTCAAGGCCCTGAGTCCCTTTGTAACTACACATTTGTTTAGTTACTTACCGAATGTCTCCTCCAATCTTCTCTAAGCTCTCCTAGGAAAGGAACTGAATCTATTTTATTTACCAAGATAAAGTCCTATAACATTTTTTAAAAAGCTGGTGGATGAGAGCCACAGTGTGGAGGAGAGTGGTTGTCCTCAGAGAAGAGGATGGTGGCTGTGGACGTCCCCTGAATTCCTCCCGTGTCTTATTTACTACTGTATTCTCAGCACCTAGCATGGTGTACACACTCAATATACATTTGTTAAATAAATAAGTATTAACATGAATTGACTTTTCATTTCCTGCAAATCTTAAAATCACCCAAGGGAAGAGGCAGTAAATGTATGTCTATGCTGCAGGCATTGGAGGGATTTGGGTGAGTGTGGTGGTTACCCAAAAACTTCATAGGTGTGAGTTGTGTTGGCTTCTGCCTGCCAGGCCCGCCTCCCTTGTGACAGTGTGTAGGCTGGCAAAAGGAAGGATGGTAATGGCTTTTGACACCCAGGTTACCATTCGACAGCATCCACTACAGAGAATTCATGGGACAAATTTATTTGGTTGAGGGACAGAATTTTCATTTGCTCACATCAATCTGAGTCCAGGAATTCTGAAATTTGCTCACTGGTGATATGTAGGTTAAAGATGATGCTCCTATGCGTTTTTGCTTGAGAACTCCTTTTTAAGTGGAGCAGTGAAGAAATCCAATTTCTGGCATTTCCTCATACATTGAAATTTTGTCTGACTTAGGAATCACTATCAAAAGTTCTGTATTAGTGCAGGAAACATGTTGAACTTAGTTTCCAGGCAAACTGGATACGCATGGCATTGGTTTAAAATATCGAAGATGTACATATTATATAAATATGTAAGTATATAAATAAATGCATTATGAAATATTGCAATAAATGTTGAAAAGCTATGTTATAAAAATACTTCCTCAACTAAATTGGGATTTTTCTTCCATATACTATTTAGCAGTGTTCTTTTTTATTTAACATTATATGTTGTTATGAATTTTCACTCTGGCTTGACTTTAAAGCCAAATATAACAAATTTTGAGTTACATAAAATATTTTATGCTTTTTCCCCTTCTTAGTACAGCTATACAAGAACATCTATGCAATATTATGACCAAATCTCTTATTTGGCCAAGTGACTTAAGAAAAATATCAAATTTGTGACTATTTAAATATGTAATATTATGGTGCAATGGCCTACAACTGAGTTCTGTGTTTTTCCTTGTATGTGAAAGTAAAAGCAATTCAATTACCATCAGTATCTACTGTACCTGAGTCTAGGGCCCACTTGTAGCCTTTTCCGTCGTTGAGACAGAGTCTCACTCTGATGCCTAGGCTTGAAAGCAGTGGCACCCAATCTCGGCTCACTGCAACCTCTACCTCCTGGGTTGAAGTGATTCTCCTGCCTCAGCCTCCCGAGTTGCTGAGATTACAGGTGCGTGCCACCATGCTTGGATAATTTTTTTGTATTTTTAGTATAGATGGGGTTCCACCATGTTGGCCAGGTTGGTCTCGAACTCCTGACTTTGTGATCTGCCTGCCTCGGCCTCCCAAAGTTCTGGGATTACAGGCCTGAGCCACCATGTCCAGCCACTTGTAGCTTTTCATCAGAGATGCCAGAAGTGATTTCTTTCAGTCTCCAGCTTGAGATAGGGTATTAACTCCAAGTACTCATAGTAATAAGTAGGTGTCATTTAAATAAAATAATCATTTATGTATAGCAACCTTGGCCTCTTTCTCATTCATGAATGATGCATTGGTGTTTACAGAATATAAAGATGAAAATCTTCATTAGATGAAGGGAGTCAAACTAGGAGGTTCTTTAATGTTTTCATCAAGGAAGAAGTTTATGGAGCAAGAGAGATAGAGACTGTCTGTCCAATTTGCATTAGCTTACCAACCACACACATCCAACAACAAAAGTCCCCCAAACTTGCCCTTCAAAGAAAAATCTTTCGACCCACTCTACTCTTGCACTGATATAGAAATGAGGTTAAGAAGTGAGTGGTGGAAGAGATCACAATATACTAACATTCTTAAATGTCAGTTGGCTAGACTCCAACTGATAGTTATTTTAGAAAAAGTAACTTTCCTTATTCTTTCTTCAGGTACTATAAGCTACACTCAAATATGTTTGAATGCCTTCTTGCATTTTGGAACAGCCTAAGAGTCACTCATGGAACCTTCTTAGGTCATTTTTATGAAAGCTGTTGGGTTTCTCAAGGTTCGCTTTAACTCAAAATTCAATAATTTCATGAGATCACTTGTTACTAGCTGGTTGGTATTAGCAGTTGCACAGATAAACTCCTATTCCATCACTTCTTGACTATGGTTGGGATGTATGATTTTCAGGTGGCATTTCTTTAATTACCCTGTGGATTGCTTGTTGCAATTTGACCCAACTACATGTCTTTTTTTCTATTAGAAAATTAATTCTAATGTTTATATATAATGCTTTACTATGTACTTTTAATATGTATTTTAAAACAAGATAACGTACATCTGTTCTTTCTACCAATTTAACAGATTTGCATTTTATAAACATTTATACATATTTCCTTGGGGAAATGACCTGTATATCAGAAATATAGATCTGTTTGTGAGAAAAAAATTATTTAAGCTTATATGTCATTTTCAGAAGTACTCTAAAATTGCCTTTTTAATTTGTGAGGAACTTTCTCAAATATGACCTTTCTAGTGCTGAATGAAAAGTCATTTCCTGAAAATGACTCCCCAAAGAGCTGGAGATTAAATTGTTGTGGCCCCCAACATCATAAAAGTGAGATCCTTGTCTTGGAAACTAAACAGACTAAACCTTTTTTTAAGAAACCTTTTCTTTTAGGTTTAGGGATACATGTGCAGGTTCGTCATGTAGGTAAACTGCCTGTCGCCAGGGCTTGGTGTACAGATTATTTAGTTACCCGGGTAATAAGCATAGTACCTGATACCTAGTTTTTTTCTGCTCCTTTCCCTCCTCACACCTTCCACCCTCAAGTGGGCCCGGGTGTTTGTTGTTTCTCTCTATGTGACCATGTGTTCTCATCATTTAGCTTCTACTTGTAAGTGAGAACAGGCGGTATTTGGTTCTCTGATAAACTAAATATATCTTACAAAATGTATTGAGATGTCCCTAAGAGTCCCTCTCCCCTGCAGGGTTCGGTATCATAGGATTCTGCACTCAACTTCATACATAAAGCAAGGACTTAAGGAGAGCTTCTCCAATACCACCTTTTGCACCATCGCTTTCTATTTAGAGATGACAGAGGCAGTATTTTAACAAGATTAAAGTTTTAATAGCTTTATTTTAAAAGTTCTTGTTTTTCCACAATATCACAACTGTTTTCATTTTTCATCTACCTGTTCGTTGTTTGTCCGTTTGCCTAGTCGTTTTTATCGTTGTAATCACGACATCCTGTCTCATGAGGTCTGTTTGTTTCCACTTTACATAAACTTTTCAAAATGACGGTTATTTCGTACTCGCTCTCGCCCGAACGCAGACTGGAGGACCCACGAAGAGCAATCGACCCGAAGGAAAAGTACGATTCAGGCCCGGCCTGCCTCGGCTCCACCTCCCCCGGGCCCCTCTCCCAAGGTCTTGGCCGCCGGACCCCGCCTTCTAGGCCCCGCCTCTCAGGGCCCCGCCCCACTTTACCCCTGGCCCCGCCCCGGCCCGTCGCCATGTTGTTCCCTCCGCGCCGGACGGAGGCAGCTGGAGCTGGAACCTGGCTGCGCTACCGCCGCCGCCTCCTGCTCTGCGGGTCCCCGACCCTCTCTCTGTCTTCATAGCACCCAGACGGGCCGGCCCAGAGCTCTCGGGCAGTCTTTCGTGTGTCCGCGAGGTGAGCGGGACTCGGGACTCCTTCGGGGCCCGGCGGGCGCACGGGTGTCGGGGTCTGAGGGGGCGGCTCGGGCCTCGGTCAGCTGGGGCAGGGTGCGGTGCGCGCGGGGCTAGCGCGGGTCACAAGGCCGCCGTGGGAGAGAGGACGGCTGGTTGTCTCCCTGCCTGCTGTCTGACATAGGAGGAAAGACGGGTCCCAACATCCCTGGGGAGAGGAACACACATGGAAACACAACACGCACGGGGACGCACACAAACACTGGAGAGGGAGGTACAAAAGCCCGGACACCCGCGCACATACACACGGAGAAATGCACCCAGTCACCTGGGAACACACGTACACACCAGCCTTTCCCTGGCCACTCCGGGACACACATCCACACACTCCAAACCAAACGCTACATCCGAATAATTAATGTAGGGAAAACAAAGGCGCTCCCACGACTTGATTTTGGCGATCTCTGAAGTTCAGCCTAGCAGAAAGTGACTGTTCGATGTCTTAGGACCACTCGGGTGAGGAATTCGGAAAGTAAAGCCAATCTTAGAGGCTGCAGGCGGTTTGGGGGCATTATCTGATTCAGACGCTGGCTAATGTTTCACAATTGCGTTCCCTTTTTTCTTCCAACTTAGTCAAAAGGCAAGATGAAAATTTTAAGTGCTGAACAAATAGTTGGTGGACGTATTGCCTTTTTTTTTTTTTTGGTTAGGGATGACACATCTCGTGACTACAGTTCTTTTGAGGAATAACTTTTCTGCTAGTTTCCAAATCGCCATGTGACCACAATCTTTTCATAGGATTTTAGCATCCTGCTAAAAATCAATGGGCAGAATTTGATTGCTTTTTTAAAAAAAAATGTGTTTGTCCTTCGGTCTCTGACACCGTTGTAATGGAAAATCCCTGCATTGCCTGTGCTCTCAGAAGCTGTCCGGTGGAGTACAACCAGAGATTAAGGAACCCAGAGCGATTCAGTTAGGAACTTTTAAGAAGCCAGCCTTTAGTTTTTCCTTTAGAAGATTATGACGTTGTCATGATTGCTTCTCTAGAACTGTAGTATGTTGTTTGGATTCTTAAATCTAAGACCATGTAGTCTGGTACTTTTAGTATTTTTGTGTCTGCTGGAGTAAATTCCTCGTTTATACTCAAAAGTTTGTCTTTTGGAGACTTTTAGGATCTGGGCATATTTTTTGTTTATTATTTGGAATGTTCGAGTCTAAGTAGAACATAATTGGCTTTGACTCCAAGCCACATTCTTAGAGATAAGGGAAATACCTGAGTGCTATCACCGCTTTCCCAACCTCTCTCATCTCTTTTTGTCTCTATCAACCATTTCTTCTGACTAGACTGCAGTACTCTGGAGGCCTAAAGATAAGATCCTTGAATTCTAGAAATTATTTCTTTTAACCTCCCCTCATTTCTGACCATTTATTGGACACTCACTCTGGTGGTGACTATTCTGTGCGTGTAAATCCTGTACATACATCATTTCATTTAATTTTCGTAGCATTTCTTCAGTAAGAGCTCCATGTTACAGTTGAGGAATGTGGGGGGGCATAGGCAGATTCAGTCTGTTTTCCAAGCTGACCCAGGTTGTGATGGGGTGGAGCTGGAATTCAAAGCAGGTCTGGGTAATTTTAGAGTCGGAGTTCTCAACTGGAAGAGAGGACAATTTTGTCCTCCTGGGACGCATTTGGCAACACCTGGAGGCATTTTTGGTTCACACCTGGGGGCAGGGAAGGTGCTGCTGACCTCTTGTGGGTAGAGGCCAGATATGCTGCTAAACATTCTTTTTTATTTTTATTTTTGTTATTTAATTTTTAATTTTTGCTGCTAAACATTTTATAACCTGCAGGACAGCCCCCCACAGTTGTCTAGCCCAAAATGTCACTAGTGCGAGGGTCGAGAAACCCTGCTTTACAGCTGTCCCAGTAACCCCAGAGCTTACATTTCAGCTGTGTTTGTAGTTTTTCAAATGCAATGTCATTTTCCTATTTGGGATACCTCATCATTTTAAGTGAGCAGGGGAAAATTCTCTATACTGAGAAGCATATTCATTTGAAAGATTAAAGAGTGAGCAAATAATTTCTGGTAGCAGAATTTGTTTTTTTGCTTTAAGGCAAAAATGACAAAAAGAACTTAAGAGCTATTCAGAGCCATTAAAGTGGACTTAGAAAGTTTAGATTCTGCATTATTTCAGTGGTCTCAGCAGCCTGTGGGGCACTCATACAAAGAGGTGCTGATGAGAAGGGCGGTAGGGAGTCCCAACCTTCCTGAAGCTTACAATCCAATCACAGTCCTAAGCTTAGGTTCTGACAGCATCCCAGAATGGAATTTATTGCCTGGCCTACTCAAGGACAGGGGCCAGGTGTTCATTAAAAAAGCAAAACAGGCTGAGTGTGGTATCTCATGTCTGTAATCTCAGCACTTTGGGAGACCCACACAGGAGGATCACTTGAGCCCAGAAGTTTGAGAACAGCCTGGGCAATATAGTGAGAACCCCATCTCTACTAAAAATAATTTTTAAAAATTAGTCTAGATGAGTGTGGTGGTGCATGTCTCAGATACTCTGGAGGCTGGCAAGAGGACGACTTGAGCTCTGGAGTTCAAGGCTGCAGTGAGTCATGATTGCACCACTGCATTCCAGCCTGGTCAATAATAAGACCTTGTCGCTAAAAAAAAAAATATATATATATATATATATATATATATATATATAATAAAAACAGCTTCACACTCCTCACAGAAGGCACAGAAGTACCTGTGTCATGATGTTTACTGTGGGCAGACTTAGATGAAATGGGGAAAACTTGATGTGTTCGTTATAGTTTTGTATGGTTAACCACGTGTGAATATTTACAAGAATCAAGTTGAGAAGTCATTCTTGTTGAGCATAAAATTCGTCCTTAAATTTCACCCCACTAGACAAATAGTTATGCCTGCATTTTGTCACTGGAATTGAGAAATAAATGATGCATTTTATAATGGCTTTTCCATAACTTTCTGGTGTTTTCCAGTCTTTTTTTTTCATGCCTACCTAAGATCAGGCCTTTCAAAATATATGCTGCTTCATTCTGTTGACAGAATTAACTGTTAGGTGAACTTTGGGAGAGAGTGGTTGATTGGAGCAGTCAAAAAGGATCTCATCTCTTTTTAGGCTTCACTTTGAGTGTGTTATTAACGCAATCAATATGGCGTCTTTTTGTTGGTAGCTTTGGCTTTTGACTTATGTCAAGACACAGCATGTTCTTTGCTGATGAATAGATTTCAACTCCTGCCTGTTATCAGGAGTTGTCTACTATGGGGTAGGGAGGATGTTGAGTCACACATCAAAATGATTGCTAGTGCATATGCATGGAGTCTAATAAAAGTGATGTGTTTTTTCTGGGAAGGGTCTAGAGAAATTCATGCTGGAATTGTCTTGTTTGATCATTAATTGGCTTGTTCCTCTGGCCAACTTAGGTCACCACATTTCTTCTTGGGTAAAATGAGATGGTTGTGCTTTATAATCTCTGAGATTATATGACACTAAGTAGACACAGCAAATTATTAGCTTCCAAGTAGTACTGCCCAGGCAATTTGTTGCTTAAGCAGCAGGGGGAAGTAAGCCAAATGGAAGTGTGTGTGTGTTTGGGCAACGCACCCAACTTGAAAGCTGTGTAGATAATAAATTCATTAGTCAAAACCAAGCATAAGAGAATAGGATTTGTGACTAAGTAGGCCTTCAACAGAGAACATTTACTAAGGACTTTTTTGTAGAGGAGTGAGGATGAACTCAAAAAATGTCTCAGTGAGTTTGGTGGAAAGGTATGATGCAATTGGAAGGCGAGGATGTCTGAGGGAGGAGACCTGGAGCCACCTAGATGTGTAGGCAGATGGGATGGAGGTCAGAGGCGGTCCCAGGCCATGTTACCAGAGAGCCCAGGGGTGCCAGGGCTAGTTAGATAACTTGGAGGAGAAATCTGTTTCTCAACATGACACTGGATACTGTGCATGTTGTGAAGCTCTGTGCTCTGGATATTTTCCACATTCTGGATTTTTCCAATCCTTTTTATTAATTTTTGCCCATGGTGAGTTCAGGTGTTAGAACACTGTTGCTTATTATGAACACGGTGAGGATGACTAGATGTAAATGAATGTAAGGTAACAGCTAGATCTGCATGAGGTGGAGAGAGACTGGGTGTATATTTTGGAAAAAACATGCAGCGGTGAAATAGGCTGTGCAGGCTTCACATTCTGGCTGCACGAAAGCTCATTGCATTCTCCAGGAGCTCTCTGGAAGTCTGTGGACACAGACTCCACTTTTGTCTTAGACCTGACTGGTGCTAATGTATCCTGTTGTTTGACAGGAGATGGAGAAACACTATAGAACAACTGGATACATTCATTTCATTACCACAATCTTTATCCAAGTGTGACAGATAGCAAAACAGTATAAAGGAGTTGAACTAACTACTGTATTTTAATTCCAAGTTTGCGTTAATTGGATTAGATTTTTGGGTACAGAATCTAAGGTAATTTCCAAAAGGTTAGTTCCCATAAGACTGTCTATGTTCTCAGTGTTAGAAAAACCTGGGGAAGAAAAAGCCTTACAGACTCCTGTTTCTAGAACTTTCTGTGCAGAACTCTAACAGATAGAAGTGTTTATGCAGCTAGGTGACTGTTCTGGACTGTGCAGTTTCACACCTGTGTATTTGATCAGATGTACATACCTGGAAATACTTACATAATGTGGTTGGAAGTCAGATGAGAACTGCCTGAGGACTACCCATTGGTGAATGCAGAATGGTCCTTGGAATGAGTGCTAGTATTCTTAAATAAAATTTAAAAATAATTGTTTGGGAGCAAACAGCTGCCACCCTCATAATCCACTTTAGTTTGTGCCCAGGACTTGATTTCTATCACAGCAGTCCTGGAAAACCTAGCTTCATGAAGATACAATGCCATCGAAAGGAATGCAGCGCAATCTAACTCCCCTCCAGTGTGGTGCCCTCCAAATGTCAAGT